AAAGTAGATACTCCAACCGAGTGGAAAAGTCCCATGGTTCCAGTAGTCCGCTCGGTCAACGGAAAAGATAGGAAAGTTCGCATATGCGTTGATTTTAGGAAGCTCAATCGTAGCTTGAAACGAGAACAGTTCCAGATTCCTACCTTTGAGGACTTGTCTTATAAGTTGTCAGGAGCAAAATATTTTTCTAAACATGACGCAGCCTCAGGATTTTATCAAATACCATTGGACGCAAGCGCTAGAGATTTTACCGCATTCTTGACTCCATTCGGTAGATATAGATTTAAACGATTGCCCATGGGAGTTAACATTGCTCCCGAAATTTATCAAAAGAAAATGCAGGCGCTTCTCGAAGGCATAGAAGATGTCATTGTGTACATGGATGATGTGGTGGTGTTCGGGAATAGTTCGGCAAAGCATGATGCAACACTGACTGAAGTCTTGGATAGAATTAGGATGAGCGGTCTTAAATTGAATAGAGAGAAGTGTTTGTTTAAAAAAGAGCAGATAGGATTTCTCGGCCACGTGGTCAGCAACAGCGGAATATCTCCTAGTCCAGGAAAGGTAGACGCAATTTTGCAGCTAGAGGCACCAAAAGATGTGAGCCAGCTGCGTAAAGTACTCGGGATGCTAAATTTTCTGACTAAATTTGTTCCTATAGCGCAAATAATATTGGCCCCATTAAATGAGCTGCTTAGAAGAGATGTACAGTGGATTTGGGACGAGCCGCAGCGCAGTTCATTTGAACAAATCAAAAAAGTCCTTAAGTAGCTGCCCCGTGCTTGCATACTACGACCCCGGCAAAGCTACTGTAGTGTCTACTGATGCGAGCTCGTACGGTCTAGGTGGCGTGCTGCTGCAGTCTCGTAGTGGAAGGTGGAAGCCGGTGGCATATTGCTCTCGCAGTCTGACCTCAGCTGAGCGAAACTACGCTCAAATCGAGAAAGAATGCTTAGCGTGCGTGTGGGCCTGTGAGAAATTCCACTCTTTTCTCAACGGGCTTGAGTTCACGCTGCAGACCGATCACAAGCCTCTTATACCACTTATAAATAGTAAAACGATGCCGGATGTTCCTTTGAGGTGTCAGCGTTTATTGATGAGGTTAGCCCGATACTCGCCAGTGGCAGAGTACGTCCCCGGAAAATTTTTGGTTGTCGCCGACGCTTTGTCGAGATGCAAGAAAACTGGTGAGAATGGCACCGTCTGTGCTCTGGAGCAAGACGTAGAGACGCACTCGGCAGCGGCAGTTCTTAATTTTCCCGGTTCCGATCGGATGCTTTCTCAAATATTGCAGATGCAAGCCCAGGACCCAATCCTGTCCAGAATTAAGTCTTTCACCTTGCATGGATGGCCGGATGTAGTGTCGAGGAATCTATCGGATTTTTATGCTGCAAGGGGCGATCTAAGCGTCGTTAACGATTTACTGGTCTTCAGGAATAGAATTGTGATCCCGAGCCTCATGCAGCGGGAAATTCTAAAGAGAGTACATGACGATGGTCACCTCAGTCTCCATAAATGTAGACATAGAGTCCAGTCGTCAGTTTGGTGGCCGAACATAGCAAAGGATTTGCCGAACTTCATTGAGAAGTGTGCATTTTGTCAAATTCATGGTAGAAGTACTCGCAAAGAACCAATTAGAGCCTCGTCGCTGCCGGAACGACCGTGGCAAAAAGTAGGGTTGGATTTGTTTCACTTGAGGAATCGTAATTACCTCATCATTGTCGATTATTTTAGTAGATGGTTCGAAATTGTGCATTTGCGTCATACAGATTCGGCGACTGTCATTGATGGCTTGAAAAAGGTTTTTGCCGCTTATGGGATACCGGAGCATATACGATCAGATGGGGGGCCTCAATTTACTTCATTGTTGTTCAGAAATTTTGTAAATCGCTATTGTATCATGCACTCTGTATCTGACCCTTTTCGCCCTCAGGCTAATGGCAGCGCCGAGAGGGCGGTTCAGGTGGCCAAGAGGCTCTTGCAGACGGACGACCCCTTTGCATCTCTCCTGGCGTACAGGAACACCCCGTTAGACGTGACCGGCTGCTCCCCGGCTCAGTTGCTGATGGGTCGACGCACACGGAGTACGTTACCCGCGATGTCTTCTCAACTGGCGCCTGAGTCTGGACACACCCTCACCTCCCTGGCCACGCCCCTCACCTCCCTGGACACACCCACCCCTCGCCTCCCTGGCCACGCCCCTCACCTCTCTGGACACACCCACCTCTCGCCTCCCTGGCCACGCCCCTCACCTCCCTGGCCACGCCCCTCACCTCTCTGGACACACCCACCCCTCGCCTCCCTGGCCACGCCCCTCACCTCCCTAGACACAGCCCTCACCTCCCTAGACACACATCTCACCTCCCTGGCCACACCCCCTCACCTCTCTGGAGACATCCCTCGCCTCCTGCAGCTTCTCCAGGAAGGTCAGGAAGCCGAGCGTGGGCTGCGTGCTGACATGGCCGCCCCCCAGGATGCTGTGAGGGGAGCCTAAGCCTCCCAGCAGACTTTGCACCAGCCCTCCCACGGTCTCTTCCACTTTGCGCGACATAATATAATGTTGAGGCGATCAAACACGCGTTTAGATCGCATCACTCACTCTGCCTTGATACTTGCATTCAAGCTGTGGAAATCCGTGTGAATAATTAGGAGAATTATTGCATGAGCATGTGGCAGAATAAAGACTTTTATATAGATGCAGTGATGCCCTTGATTTTGAACGTGTGAGAAGCCGAAAAACCCAGCATTTGTCCAAAATACTTGAGAAATTTTGCAATGAAAATTGGTCAAAAATAATGAATTAAAACACTACTTCATTCCGTCCAGTGCCGCGGGAGCGTCCTTGCAGCATTTCTACGACGCGCAGCACAAATAGAGTTCAGAAGTTTAAGGTCTTTACTTCTTCTGCTTCAATATATACATTCAGCAGCTGCTCCGCTTCCCCATTTGAAGCCGTTGTTAACTTATCAGTGTGGCAACATTGGCGGTCTTCATAACATAGTAGCCTAAAGAAGTTTTGATCGTAGATTCCGTTACGTCATATTGAACAGCAGGATCAGACCCACATTTTTCGTGATTAAAAACTGTTTCTTAGTAGAGTTGAGTAGTCGTTCTCCAATTTTTCCGCTATTTTTTCAATAGAATAGTTGTCTTCGCAGTTTTCCACTATTTTCATAAACACAGTCACTGCAGCTTCCATTGACCCACGTCTGGATGCAGAAATAAATTACATGTTAACTAAATAAGAATAAGGTGGATCAGCGCACGGACACATACGCCCACCACAGGCTGACTCCCACCGACGAGGGCTACGGCAAACGAACCGGCGAACGACTTCCTAACATTTTTAATGGAACTCCGATGCAAAATTTTTCTAAACGTCTTGGCAGGTTCCCGAATTGTTTGGCCTGAAAATCGCTTGAGAGCCGAGGTACTGACGCATGTACCGTAACGTGTAACATAGCCCATGTAACGTGTAACATTGCCCATGTAACGTGTAACATAGCCCATGTAGCGGTTTCAGCGTTTATTAGGCCGTAGGCCTGTCGCCGATTCTTAACATCACAGAAAATTCACAGCATTTTGCGGTCTCGAACTCACAACCCACTGCTACTATTCTGCTGTGCTTAACCGCCCGGCCTTCTTGCCGATTCTGACCAGAAACTGGCGCCAGAGCTGGGATCGAACCCGCACCTCTCTGCGCCAATCCTGGTAGTCTGAACTGTAACCACTGGGCCACCTGGGTGTAACATAGTCCATGTAACGTGCAACATAGCTCACGTGACGTGCGGAGGGACATGTGACAAGGAGGGACATGCAGGTGAACAGGAAGGACAGGTGAAAAGGAACAGAAACGAAGACGCTCGAACAAGAAGTCGCTTACACGGGACGTCGGCCGCCCGCACGAGAGAGGCAGAGAAGGGAAATGTAAGGAATCCTGCCTACATAATAACTTAATGTAAGGTATCCTACCTACATAATAACTAAATGTGAGGTATCCTACCTACATAATAACTAAATGTGAGGTATCCTACCTACATAATAACTTAATGTAAGGAATCCTGCCTACATAATAACTTAACGCCACAACTGAGATCTGCAGTCAGACACCGCGAGCTCAGCGGTGGGGCGCTCAGGAACAATCCGCCTAGGAGCGCGAAATCCCATAGGACTTCTGACGCGCACAGGCACGCGTCAGAAGTCCCTCGTGAGGGGGGGGGAGTCAATACGTCTAAGAATAAAAAGTTTCCGACATGATGATGCCAGGTGTTGCGAGGCTAGGGACCGGGGGACCGCCACGCATCCCCTGATGGGTGACCCCACCTCCCTTGCGGCAGCTTGGGTAAATAGGTACAGGTACAGCCGCCACATACCCACAGCATGGTAGTTCGGGTACAGAGCAGCCGTCTTTTATCCACAGCAACTGCTAGTTAGGGTAGAGTGCAGCCAGCACATACCCAAATCCCCACAGAAATTACTAGTTAGGGTAAAGTAGAGCCGCCACATCACCATAGCGAAAGCAATAGATGACCAAAATATCAGCCCCAGTCGAGCATGCAGCGGTGACGGTGTAGGATGGAGTGGTGTGGTTTCCCGCGGTAGGAGATGAAAGAGACATATATGCTTCCCTCAATACAGTCATAACAAACAAGGATCTTTATGGGAAAATTAATATCAAATCCTTACGGATGCAAGCAAGGTGCACAACACGCGATGCTAGTAACCATATAATGCGCTTGCAGCACAAATACTTTTGCGAGAAGTGTGATGATTTTAATACCAAAAACAATAGCTGCAAACATATGAATGGCATTGCTTGAGAAAGACATTGGAGAAACCACATGGTAGGTTGGAGGAGCCAATTGACAGGAAGTTTTCATCTCAATCATTGCCTTCTCATTGCTTGTTAACTGCTGCTTCATGCAAGAACCTTCTTTTCCGATATTGCATAATCTTATGACAGTATTTCAAGTCAAACTATAAATGATCAATAAAAGCCGTTTTCAAATATTGACTAAATGTTTTTTTTTCATGAATCCCAACATACACGAAGACGATTCTCGACAATACTGCCGCAGTCAGGACTTCTTATATGGGATTTCTAGAGCATTGCCGGCGTTACTCAGAAGTGTAGGTGGAACTGCGAGGCTGAGGGACGCTCTGCTCAGAGTCGTGCATGTTCTGAGCAAGGTTCTTGTAGACGGCGAGGGCGGAGGTGACGACGTTTGTGACGTCCCCCACGTTGGCTGGCAGGATGATTGTGTTGTTCGTCCTGGCGAGCTCACCGAATGCATTGATGTAGCTCTGCGCCGTCGACAGGGATGCGGCGTTCAAACCTGCATAAAAAAGTCTTCCTGATGAGCTACGACTAGAGGGTCTTAGAGCTATAAAAGTGATTAATAAATAGCAGTTTAATAATCATAAAACAATGGAGGTTAATAACCATGTAACAATGCTAAAGAATGATAAGTGCCACACCAATAAAGATTGATCAAGATACGAAATATTGCTCAGAATGCCAAGAAGCTGCCAAGGAGATAAGCTCAACTGTAAATGTAAGTCCACAATTTATTTTATTTGCAGAGTTAAGCTGCTTTCACCTATACTGCTATAGGATGGCCGTGTGCAGCTGAACTGCTTACCTTGTTTGTGTGCCAGCGCCTCTGAGAGAATACGCAGGCTCTCGGCCTTGCCGGTGGCTACATTGATCTGCTCGAGCTTCTCGGCCTCCGAGGCTAAAATGCGAGCCTGCCGACGGCCTTCAGCCACATTGATCTGCCATTAATTAAACATATTCATCTCATTAATTGATCTACCAGCAACTAAAAATATTCATCTCATTAATTGATCTACCAGCAACTAACAATATTCATCTCATTAATTGATCTACCAACAACTAAAAATATTCATCTCATTATTTGATCTACCACCAACCGAACATATTCTTCTCATTAATCACGCTCTGCTTCCTACTATCTACTAACACACTGTACAACGGTCTGCTAAAGATTATCATTTGGAATGTCAACCTTAAAGAAGATTAAACTTATAATTTCATGTAAAAAGAAACAAAAAAGAGAACTTAAAAGATAACTAATGATAATTTATGATAACTAATGATAATTAGTTATCATTAGTTATCATAAATTATAATTAATTGATAAAAGATAACTAATGATAATTTAACTCTTGATGGTAGAGCACTATCTTAACACAAGGAACGTCAGCCACCATATGCAGCCGCGATAAACGAACGCCCAAGCTTCAATTTCTCAATAAATTTGGGCCCTCAAATGCTGAAAATCTCATACGTGAGTAGAATTAATTATACTATTTTGAAATGATTAGCATGACTTGACACCTGCTCAAGGGTTATGTACCACTAATACCATAACATTCCTGGATATATAATAAACAGCAATGATGTGAAAAGGTATGTGGTATGGAAGACTTACTTCAGCCTCCCTAATACCCTCGCTCTCCAGGACTGTAGCTCGCTTCTTTCTCTCTGCCTCGACCTGCATCTGCATTGCCTCCTGCACCCGTGATGGCAGCTTGATGTCACCTGCAGTAAGTCAATACCATTGCATAATGTAGTACTTAATATACTATTTACTGAATGAAATAATCTTTGTGAAGGAAGAAGACCAAGCTAGCTTTTCGATGCAATGTCACTAAAATCTCAATTGTCAAGAAATGTCAGAATCAACAGGAATTCGATTACACTAGAGTACCGGTGCGGCATTTATAAAAAAAAGAGATATAAATGAACACATGAGTGAAGTAATGAAATGCTCATTACATTGATTAATTCTGTAATTCCATGTAAATTGGCAACAGCTATCAACTTATTAAGACTGGCAATCAACACCAGATGGTGAAGACATTAGGCAAGTGAGTATAAAATATTTCAAAAATTACTTTGAAAAATTAACCTATCATTGAAACTCCACCAATCAAAATGAATTTTGGTAATAATTTTTGATCTAATCATATTGAACAAGCATCTGAATCAGAGTTGACAGCAATTTAAATGGTCAACAGAATAGCTTGGGTACAGGGATTTCCTCCATAATTTCATCTGAGAGTAGCAGGTGCTAAAACAAACATTTCTTAAGACATATCATTAGGGTAATTAGAAATAAATTCTAAGTGAACTCACGGATCTCATATCGGAGGCATGCGATGCCCCAGGCCTCGGCAGCTTTATTGATGGCATGAACAATGGCAACGTTCAGCGACTCTCTCTCCCGAAATACGTTGTCAAGGCTGATCTTGCCTATCTCGGATCTGCCAGAACGGAACACCATGCTTCACTATATGTACATGTTACACGCTCTACATAAATGACATTGATTAATAATGGAAAAAATTAGTCAATTATTTCAGAGGAATATCAACATTATTTCATTTTTTCATGTATGTACAAGTTGACCACAATAGCATATGAATAAACTAAGAAATGATACCTATATGATTATAACGATTAGCAAAGATAAGCAGGAGTAGAGAGAGATTATTGTAACAATTTCAGGCGTTGATAAAATTTTGAATGACTCAAAATCTATATAAAATAAATAACTCAAATAAAATCTATATATAGTCAAATGGGGTAAGACAGGATCGCAGCCTTCGTGGGGTAAGAAAGGACTAGCCTATGGCGTGCATTCTAATTGCACTGAATTCAATTTGACAAAAGAATATGTTAGAACAATCATTGCCTGTCATTTCAGTGTTTATGGCAACCCTCTTCTGCAAATAATGAATTTTTGGCTAATTTTTAAAAAAACCTATGTAAAGAAGGGTCACAAAATAGTTAACCCTATTTGGGAAATAAGCTCTGTCTAATAACAAAATTTTTTTTGGCCAGGTTTGTGGATGTAGGCAGGTAACCTCAAGTAATAGGCAACTTTTTAGACATACTAGGCATTCCTACCTGCTACCATCACTGCCTGACATGCATTCTAAAATGGGGTAAAAAAGGACCGGACATGGGGTAAGAAGGGACCACTAAATGATCCTGTTTTACCCCACAAGTGGTCCTATCTTACCCCACAAATGGTCCTGCCTTACCCCACAAATGGTCCTCTATTACCCTACAGTTTATCAAAAATAGTTTTGAAATGAATATATTATTGTGTAGTACATGGAGTATTTTGGTCAAAATTTGTATCTTTTGCTCAAACTTCATTATAACTTGTTAGCTTTTTTAATTAGAGAAATTTAGTGCTTTATTTTAAATTGCATCAAAGGGATATAGAAAATATGGATGTCTATTCCCATTAGTGAGCTGCAGAACTATGTGCAAGATTGGCTGGGGGAAAAATCATTGTGTGAACCATGAAAAATAATTATGATCATAACTGTGTGAGAGGGCATGGGCTACATTAGATGAAGTGCACCACAAATGCAGTTAGCAAGAAAACACATGACGTCTGACACTTGGGTTATTATCCATTGGTTTATTAACAATTTGATAAATTTTCAGACAATGACACTAATGGAATGAATATACGTACATGAAGCATTTAGCAGTGTTCGACAATGAACCAAAGCCAACCCACTATTACTATGCTTAACAAATTTTTCTTGTGACAAAAACTTTAATGTGACAGATATTACAGTTGACTTCCCTCAGGCCTCAACACAAAACAGTAACAAGTGGTTGTTTAATCAAATAATGTGTTTCTAGATGGATAATATTGCGTATCAGATTTGTACTTTTATTAAAAACCTTGTAACATAAGAATTACCAGTTGGTCCTTTCTTACCCCAGCCTGGTCCCATCTTACCCCAATGGGTAAGATGGGATCAGCTCACTTTTTTCAATCTGTACAGAAAACTATGTTCGATGCAAAACGTCTGAGTTGTAGCTTAGAAGCCCATTGCATAACTACACCTTGTGATAGGTTTTGGGTTTTTTGGTTATTCATGGTATAGGTGCTACAGGCTTGTTAGTGACTTTGGTCCTGTCTTACCCCATCTGACTATATATATATAACTGTAGCATACATATAATAAATTTCAAGTTGGCAATATAATTTTAAAAATTCAATCTCATTTACAAAGAGAACCTTAATCAAACTGAATAAAGCCCCAGTATATTACATAACAGGAACAAAATTGTCGAAAATGCACAAGTAAATGAAAATATAAAATTACATAGAAGAGACAACATGTCTACAGAGAGCTTCCCACCACAGGTAAGTGTCGTCAGCATGTCTACCGAGAGCTTACTATTACAGGGAATTATATTACAGAACCACGTGAATACGTAACTGTTAATATACAAGGAGCTTAATCTTACTAACCTTGGGTGCTGACATAACTTGTAAGAATATCATTGATACAGAGAATTTATATACATTTGGCCGGGCCAAAACTGTTATGGTTGACATGCCCTGGGAAAGCAAGATTATCTTCATAAATGACTAGAATTAAAGAGAATGTGTATTATTAAAATAAGTAGTTGAGACCTCATAGTTGTTTGAGCCACTTGTGTGATGGCAAACTCAGCATCTTCAACACCATAGCTTGCCTTGTAGGGATCAAGGATGCGCAGATAGAGAACCCCATCAATGTTGAGCGTCACATTGTCTAAAAGGCAAGAGAGTTTTCGATCTTATGGGAGAAACACAACTCAAAAATATCAATGCCACAAAACATTTTGAATTCTAATCAAGATCTGAGGATAAGTGAAGCTTGCAACAATGTTGTAATACAAATCACATTATATATATATATATTAAAATCTAAATTTTTACTGGCCAAAAGATTTTTTCAATAAAGTTATGTATATACATAGAAATATGAATACAGAAAGTTACACATAATTTCAATTTTGTGCAATAGGAATGTCACATCATTTTATCTAATTTCACATCAAATTTATCTCACCAGCAGTGATTGCCGCTTGCTGAGGTATGTCAATAGCTATTTCCTTAAGACCTTGAACATATTTAACTCGATCTAGAATAGGAATGAGGAAGTTGATTCCAGGTTCTAGTATGCTGTGAAATTTGCCCATGCGCTCCACCACCCATGCCTGGAAAACAAACCTGTTATTAGAAAATCCAATGATATAAAATGATCCAAAGGTTTTTTCAGGATAAAATACATGGCAAGATGGCATACAATAAATTTTGAAATTGTATGAATACTGGCACAAACACAATAAACAATAAATCATTAGCTTGCAATCTATGTATATTTATACATGGGTAGTTAATGGCCAGAGAATTCATTCATTTAAATTTTTAGCACTAAACAATATTCTCCAGATAATCTTGGTTGATCAAAATGCAGGTTGAAGGAAATAATTTTATTTTATTAATGACGTTTTGAATGTGAAAACATTCATTTCCAAGTTTTAGGAAGCATTAAATACTGAAATTTTATAGAAATAAGTACCTACATGATACATGTAAATATGATACAACACAAAAATGTGCAACCAGGAAAATAACTGAAACGATATCAAAGTTAAAAAAATCCGGTAGTTATGAGATGGATAGTTGGGAGTCTAATGAGCAGAGAAAAGAGCCCCTTGTCAGTGGTATGATTTTGGGCCACTACAAGATGACGATGCTGGAGTGACTGTGTCACTCCAGCAGAGTGCAAGTGAAAGTCTCCCTTAATTTGATGCTGTCAAAGATGTCACTGAGCCTATTGCGTTCATAGTGGCTCCTGAGATGAAGTTGCTTGATTGTAATACTTTGATAACTGGTCTGGTTGCAAGTTTGTCTCTGGTGACACGATAAACTGCTGCTCAATGTTGTTATAGTTACTCCAATTACTCCAATGCAATCCAAATGACGAAGAAGTCTACAACCTTCTTTGAAGCAAAATTTACTGATTACAGTACATTGGCTTCTTGGTGAACTCTCACTTTCTTGCAGGGCCTATAGTTGAATATAGTCTGGAGGTTTTTGGTGTTGCCATGGGTATCATCAAGCCAGTTGAATTCATCAACGATTTTGAGATAAAGTTGCTTGTATGTAATACTCAATGTCTGAGTTGTTGATCCAATTACTCCAGTGTAGTCCAAATTATAACCAGACCAGGTCTCAAAGTATTAAAATCAAGCAGCATCACCTCAAGATCCATATTGAATTCAGCAGGCTCCATGACACCCTCAACAACATCAAACTCAACAAGACCATCACCCCCACTGTGCTGGAGGAACCTAACAGCATTGTCTTCATGGAGTGGCCCAACATCATCTATTTGATTAGCTAAAGCCCTCACCTCTATGGATTGGACTCCAGCTTTCCATCTCATAACTACTGGGCTTTCTGAACATTGAGATTGTTTCAGAGTTATTTTCACAGTTTCAAATTTTGTTGTTGTATCATATTATGTAGTATCACATACTTATTTTTGCCAAATTTTCAGTATTCAATGCTTCCTATAACTTGAAAATGAATTTTGTCACATTTGAAACATTGTTAATAAATTAAAATTACTTCAAAAACCTGCATTTTGATCAATCAATGTCAACAAGAATTGTTTGAGCCTGAAAATTTAAATCAATCAATAATTTCTATGGTCATTAACTGCCCTAGTTCAGAAAATATCTATATTGAAATATACCCATATATTTTTGAGTTTCCTTTTGTCAGTAATATAAATTAGTGAAAGAACACACAGTATTTTCTTTGTTTACTGAAAGTATAGCATAGAAATGCAAGTAGATACTTTGAAACATGCTTACATGCCAAAGTGGAAAATGGGGCAGAAGCCACCTGTGAATTGAACAAAAAGACCTGTGAATGGGCCAATTTTACCTGCTTCTATGACCTTTTTCCAATATCTTCACTAAAAAATTAGAAAAAATAGCTTCTTTCACCAGAAATTTTCTAAAATCACCAGTGAAATTATAGTTTTTACCCACAATTTTAGGAAACTTTTGCATGATATTCCAAGTAGGCTCACATGAAATCCTTATTGAACCCTTACTACAGAGAAATGAATAACTAGGCTTTGGTAATGAAAAAAACTGCTGTCAAATTGTTATACTGGTTTCACAGCAATCTAAAAATTAACATCCTAGTCAAGTTCAATTGTTCAAATATAATTCTTCTGAAAGTACATGAAAGAATACCTCTTGCTGGGGCACGAATAACACAACAGTGTTTATTGGGAGATGGGATCGCAGTCGAACAGTTTGCAGCTGCTGTACAGAAACTGCACGGTGCTGGAAAAAGAGTAAGATTTCATCAAAATGCAAATATAGCTATAGTGTTTCTCCCTAAGTTATTATTTTGTCTTCAAAATTTTGCTATTAAGTTAAATAGTACCACTTAAGTATTGAAACACTTAAAAATATCATACATTGTGCTTTAACAAATATTAAATTTCTCTCTTCTTTAATCCCTTAAAGAAAGGAACAGTGTAGTATGTATTGAATTATTATGACTATTATTAATAGTCTATTATGATTAATTATTACTAATACCACACCTGGACCTGCCACAGGTGTAATGCATGCCCCCTCTCACCCACTTCCTCCAGTTCAACTGCAACGGCCTGCGGCACTGCACAGTTGAGTTGGCCCACTTCCTGGTCTCCCACTCCATCCTTGTCGTGGCCATACAGGAAAGCAAACCCACCACGGCCTCAAACCCCCCAACCTCTTGCTCCAAGGAGAGGTATTTTTAGGAGGGTTCTCACTTCGGCGGCCCGCCAACATATCCCTTGCAGATGTAGAAGGTATTTCATTCCCAACCTCCCACCCTCTGCCATCCCTCTCATTCAAGAGCGTGACAGAGCCCGAGCCCTGGACCCCAACCACCCCAGCCTCCCGGACCTCAACAACAACATCTCAGCAGCCATCAACACACACTCCTGCACGACCTGGATCAAGAAGGTCCAGTCATCCCACCTGCAGAGAAATCCATCCAAATTTTGGTCGCTCCTATGCCCCCTTTCCGGCAAGTCAACCAGACAAGCCCCTAACCAACCCATTTCCTTCGATAATTCTCATGTCACCGCAGACCATATCATAGCCTCATCCTTCTGCCGCAAATTCACGCTGGTTCCCCACTACCAGCATGACCCTTCCTGCAGGTCCACCTACTGAAGCATCAAGCGCTGTAAACCCCTCTCCGACACACCCCGTGTTCACTTCGGATTAGACCAGACAGGCAGTATGGAGCTCGGTTACCTCTACTGCCACTGGCCCAGACTCCCTCACTATCCTCCACCTCCATCACCTGGGACCCAGAGGTATCCAGTACCTTACCCAACTTTACAATCTGTCCCTAGCCAAGGCCAACATCCCTGCCATCTGAAAGTTGGCCACAATCATTGCCATTCTAAAGCCAGGCAAACCCCCTGTCTATCAGCTCCTCATACCGGCCCATTTCCCTCCTGTGCCCGTCTGTGAATGTGTTGGAGCGTCTGCTTCTTCCAGCCCTTAATGCAGCATTTCCACTGGTGGACTCCCAGCATGGTTTCTGCTCTCTCCACTCCACAACATCCGCCCTACTTCCTCTAAACCAGGCCATAGCCACAGGCTTCAACCAGCCTTGCCCACCAACCAGGACAATAGCAATGGCAATAGACTTCAGCAAGGCTTTTGACACTGTGCCTCATGCTCAGCTCATCTCTCACATTGCCTCCACTCCCTTCCACGCCAATATCACCTGCTGGCTGATCTGTTACATCAGAGGCAGGTCAGCCAGGTGCTCCTACAACAACTGCATCTCCTCTCCTACAACTGCTTCCCATCTGCACAGCAAAGCTCAGGTCTTACCCATGGCTGAACACCTCTCTCTGCTCTGCTCATAATACCTTGCCAGTGCCCTACGACCGCACCATCCCAGCTAACTCTATTGTCACCCAGACATCAGGGCCCCATCCCATAAAGCACACACTTCAGACTTGCTTCATCCCTTCTGTCTCTCACCTGCTGGAGGAGGGTTCCCTCCCCCCTGACTCCTACCCCACCATGACCCTGCACAGCTCTGCTGTCTCCTCTTACCTGGCCTCAGCAGCTCCTAACAAAGTGTTGCTGACCCCTGCCTCTCCGTCTCATCCAGCGAGCTATCCCTCCCCAGGGCGGCCAGAAGTGCCCTTTCCCAGCTCCCTCTGGCTACTCATCACGGCTCAACTCATACCTTGTCTGCATTGGTGCAGCTAATAGCCCTCTCTGCTCTGAATGCGGCATAATGGACCACACCACCATCACCTCTTTAGCTGCCCATTGCACCCCACCTCGCTGACTCCACTGGACCTCTGGAGTGGAATCCCCGCTCCCTCCCCCTCCCCCAGAGCCGCCAAGCAGCAGTCCCAGGCAACTAACAACAACATGCCTCCATGGATACGGTAATATCACATCAATAATACAATAGTGTATCCCGTGTACATAGTGGCAAACCAGAGATTTTTTAGAATCAGTGCATTTTTAATTTTCTCAATTACTCAATATTTAAACCAATTTCTTATGTATGATAATGCTGGTAAGTGGTATCCATGATACTTTACTCAAGTTTACTGGTCTTCCTATAGTACCATAATCAAAATTGAACTTGTGGGAGAGTCTAAAAAACTCTCTGCTTTGCCACTATGCCTGTGTATGGATATGTTAATCATATCAATAATGGAAAAACAAGTAAAAACCACAGAAAATGTCATTTATTCTACATCAACATCATCTACAAAAAAAAAAAAAAAGAAAGAGGAGGACTTCAGAGTAATGTTAGTAATGGATGAGTACACTCTGCATGCTTCAAACATTTTAAAAATGAGTTTTATTCCGAATGTCAAGGATTACCACGTTCCCAGGGGTGATTTGGGATGCTCTTATTTTGCCTCTGGCACCTCACAAATTGCATATGAAATTTTTTTGGAGATGCTATTCCAAAGCCCTCGCAAAGAGCTTTAAAATGAGCCCAAACTTATTTAGGAAATGTTTAATGGTAAGAAGTTATTGACTAAGAACACTCAAAACCATACCTTATTACCCCATTTGACAGTACCTTGACAGTTTACTCATCACTAAAAACTGATTTAATGATGCTAGTCAGTAAGTCAGAACTATATAATTTGTGTTAATTATATGTTTAATTGCCAAATGATGACAACAAAGCTGTTTTGATTGTGCAAGAAATTCTAGAAACATGTGGTAGTTTTGTTTATAAAATAGGTAAATTATTTTGATTGAACTACTGAAGGCCAATGACTATAGTGCTGTCTGTGGCATACTGGCATTTAGTGCTGTGCTGTTTAGTGCTGTGGCATTTAGTGCTGTGGCAAATCAGTGACAAACCACTGATTTTTAAAAATCAGTTCATTTTTAGTTTCCTCATTTACTCACAATTTAGCTAGGGTAAACGCGGTATATTCCGACATCGTAGGTAATTCCGTCACTTCTCTAGTTTGACCTATATATTAAGCTTTGTTTTAGTTCCATGCGTTCATTGATGGTTGAAATGGTGACGTCATACATTTGCGTGTCGAAATACTGCAAAAACACTAGGTCTTGGCCATCTAGCGGGAAAATATTGAGATCCAAAGAGAGACAATGCATGCCACGTGGTGAGATCATCGAAAAATGTGTCAAATTTGACAGTTGACATGGCTCTACCAAATAGTGAATAACTGTTTTTATAGGAAGAATATTATGGTTTGAGACTTTTAAATACGTCTGTGAATATATTAGGAATCCTTTAAGATTTCGGTCCTGTCTTACCCCATCTGACTATATACTTGTATTTGCTGATTTCAAGTTGTAAATAAATTAATAGATGATTAAGTTGAGATGTTGGATTTCGACACATGAAAACTAATTCCGACACAACTTGAATTGGACACACACAGATCGTTCAAAGCTCTGTACAAAAATTGAAATTTGCTTAATTAAAAGCCTAATAGCTGGTAATTAAAACGTAATTAAGTAGTGTTCAATATTTGTTAGTGTTCTAATTCAAAGCCGTGTTGTATCCCAATACAGCTCACACAGCAAACGGAATTCAAACACGTGGATGTCGGCAATACGGATCAGTTAAATTTGAAGCGCTGACGCAATACGACTCACCACGTGTCGGATGTTGCCACACAAAGTGACGGAATATAGAGATTTGGTAGGTTTCCATTCTAAAGGCTTTTTAATAAATATGGCAACATTTTGTGACATTTCATCGTTGCTGACGCGTAGTGAAGTGTTTTGAGAGTCATGTGAAGGCAACAGAACTTACGTAACGCATACAGGTTTTTTTTATAGTTTTTCATTTCTCGATGCGTCCTTAAAGTGTCGGAATATACCGCGTTTACCCTATACCAATTTCATATGCATGATTGATAATGCAGGTATCCAGGAATGATACTTTACTGGTCTATATATAGGACTCAATAATGAACTTGAAAGAGATTCTAAAAAACTCTCTGCTTTGCCACTACGGGCACTATGAATTGTCACACATGGCATTATTGGCAACCAGCAATAATAAAATAAATAAATACAGATACAGTGACAATGTTATGGGCTTGGGCTGTACTCTGTAGAGCATTCAGCATGGATGGTAGTTCCGGACTTGAGGCAATTGTAAATGAATCAAGTCTAAAAAAATAACTTGTTTGCTAGGCTACATTATACATAGGTTTTGCCCATTCAGACAGACTTACATTAGTTTTGGGTTTTGCGGGTTTTGTCCAACGGCAACGGGTTCAGTCTGTCTAACGGCCAACGGGTTTTGCCCATTCAGACAGACTTAGGTACATTAGTTTTCTAATTTTATTGACAAGCAAGCAACTTGCCAAATGGCAACGCCGCCAACTCTTGAGTCAATAACAGTGGACAAATCTCACAAATGAATCGAATTCTGAATTTGTTTACCTACCACGCACAGCCTGCATAGTGGCAAACCACAGCTTTTTTAGAATCGGTTCATTTTTAATTTCGGCTACCAGGCTAGTACCACTGTACCAGCTTTATGAATTTAAAAATCACAATCAAACAATTCAAAATCCGCATCAAGTCTATTTAATCGCAAATTAGGTCACTACGCCAATTTTTAGAAGAATAACTTACCAATATTTGATGATGCTTTACAATGTTTCGCAGCGAGTTGACAAACATAATTTTATGTTTTTATTTAACCAAGAGTTTTTAATTTTGAACTCGAGCAGCCCGTGAGCCCTGCTTACTGCTTACTTGATTTTGACTCACTTTCAATACGAATTTCCTTCTATCGGCACCGCACTACGGTAACGTGCTTGTAACGCGCATTAGTCCAATTCCGCAGTGAAAATATGAGGGCTGATACCTGCACAGTTCATTGTACCGTAATTACCACGGTAATAATCAAATTACGGTACGACTACGGTAATTTCTAGTCTACTACGGCGTAGTTCACTAAAATCAACTGATAACAGTGACGTAAAATCATCAAAATTTAACTTACTGTTATACATATAGGACTCAAATGAACTTGAGGAAGAGCAACAAAAAATGTTTTCCTTCGCCGCTATGCTGCTATCGAACACGATAAATGGAAAAAAACTGTTTTTTTTTTTCATTTGAACCTATCAATTTAGCGTGAATTCCGTTTGTTGTTCTTAATAATCGTGTTTCTAAATTGGACTTCGCAAAGTATTCCGTATTACCTTCCCGCAGCGGTGCAGCCTTCCGTAGCCTTAGTTGTGTAATTCCGACATTCGGTTGTGGGCTGCGGTAGCGGAAATTCTTGCTAGTTAACGTCAATTTCCTATTCAAATCAAAGAATACATAGTATTATTTAAGTATTAAACAGATTCATTTATAATCTTGGATTCTTTGAAGTTCGATTGAAAAATATTTACCAATTTGGTGGCCTACGGTACCTAGTTCAGTCAACTTCAGTGGGAAGAAAGAAACTGTCATTACTAATGAGTAATGACATTACACATATCTAGGGTCTGAAGTGGTCATTCCTGTTAGTAAAAAAATGTTTTTTTTTGCACTGGCAATTGTAAATATTTTTTCATTTCTACGCATTGAGAGTATTGTCTTGACTCTTGAGCAATGAGCATGACAGCAAAAGGCTCTGGCACTGACACTGAAGTAAGTTATGACTGAGAATATCTGACCATGCCTCAACGGCTTATTATTATTATTACGGCTAAACCTAAAGTTGCCTCTGATGATGGCATGATCCAAAAAGGGAAATTGGGCAGAAGGAGAAGCCACCAGTGAATTGGAAAAAAATGACATGAAAAGCTGACCGATTTCCAATTTTACCCTTTCCTATGCCTGTTTGTTAATTACTTCATTGAAAGATAAAAACGGTCACAAACTTGTAATTCTAGGTATGTGCATTAAAAAATTGTACCTAATCTTAATAAAAATTATATCCACTGTGCAGAGAGTGAACGAAGATTTAAAGACCTACGGCGACGCATTATCAGCAAAATTTTCGCCTTCAGAAGATCTTGCCGACACATTTAGATTGAAATTCTTGCATTTAATATATTTCTCAGTCTTCTGGCGACGCATCTTTAAAATGGCCGGCGACGCTTTGGGCTTAAAAATCCATATATTGCCGACGCTGCATCCACCCTCTGCATAGTGGAATTATATATCTGAAAAAGGAAAATATTTTGAAAAATACAAATTTAAAAAGTATAAATTTAAGTGGAGTATATATAAAAGTGAAAAAGCTATCAATTTTTTACTTTATTTAATTACCTCTCAAAAATTGAGACCATTTTTTAGCACTTTTTTAAAATAAAAATATCATTCTAGGAATTTAGGTTTCCTTCAAAAAACAAGAGTTTCATATATCTTATCAGAGGAGCTCTTCCTAAAGTTAAAGTAATTCTAAGACCAAGTTGTAGAAGTAACAGCAACTTAGGCTAGTTGAACTTACTAATATGTCAATTGTCAAGTGTCTAAAGAAGGCCATTAAATAGCTCTCTGATAATGGGAATTAAGCTGCAAAAAAAAGTGAGAGTGTAAAATCAAATTTATAATATAAGAAGTTTTTGGCTTGCATCTTATGAAGATGGGCCCATTTCTGTTAGCTTTTCTGTACAAGATACCTTCCTGGTAATTAAGGTTTTGAAGTCCCAATAAGCCTGTTTATTATATTTTTAGCTTTCTCTTAATTTGAAGTTGAACTTATCTAACCTCTTAATCCTAATTGCCTTGGGTTTTTGTTTCATGGTACAACCTTGGCTGCAAGTGATATCTGCTCTTAATTTTATTAATTATTTTTTAGTGGTTTTCCAATTTGCATATGCTGCAATTATTTTACCGGGCATTAATAGGTATAGATTTTTTCCTGTCAAATGCTGTCTTCAATGCACAAGTGTGAACTCAAATCCAGTTATTAAAATTATGAGAATGAAAGGACCAAGTTTCTGGCCTCAAGCAGAGCCATTTCCATGTACAACAATCTGACTGCTGTGATGTGATATTGTAGATATGTTACCCATGTGTAGGAGACTGTAAGTCATTCATGTGTGTGTGTGTGCCTGAAAACATGTGCACCTTTATTGCTGGAGCATTTGCATCTCCATCACTGGTGCACCTGCTTAGCTAAAATAGAATTGATCCAATACAAAGAATAGATCTCAGTTGAAGAGTATCTCAACAGACAGGGCTATGAGATTTGTGGTTATTTTTTACGGAGGTTAATAGAAATTAAGTGCATTTTCCCGCAAACCCTGGCATGATTAGGGTTAAGCATTTGAATTTCAAACCTATTTGTGCGTAGAATATATATAATCCAGTTGTGATTTCCTTCAAATGTTACAGAATTTGAGAATTTGTGTCTAGCGACAGTACTTTCAGAACAGTATATTTATTTAAGTTGATATCATACTATTAACTGAGGTACACAAATTTCTACAACCACCATGTCATTGATTATAAAAATTTGGTGATTAGTTCAATAGTTCTCATTATTTCCTTGTTTGAGGGCAAAATTGTGACTATAATAGTGAGCAACATTAATGTGTTTGTAATCTGCTTTTGTGGTGTGCCTGCAGATGTTTATGATGGTGAGTACAGCTGCTCAGCTCTGACTGATGGTGAGTACAGCTGCTCAGCTCTGACTGATGGTGAGTACAGCTGCTCAGCTCTGACTGATGGTGAGTACAGCTACTCAGCTCTGACTGATGGTGAGTACAGCTGCTCAGCTCTGACTGATGGTGAGTGAGTACAGCTGCTTAGCTCTGACTGGAGTGAGTACAGCTGCTCAGCTCTGACTTGCTCTGCCCCATGCAGTGACTGCAGCACAACTGCAGAGGTGATCCTGGGCAAGGTTAGGATGTAGTGTAGTATGTAGTGTACACTTATATACCTCGCAGGTAGTCTGCTACCATCTCTCAAGTAAGACTAAGCCTTTATTTCCATGGCTTCAATTTGCATAATGTGTTTTCAAATGAAAAACGTAATTGGATAATTTTCCTTTTTCATAGCATAATGATGTTTGAATAAACATTCAGGATGAACACAATTATGTGTGAGTTTTCCCTGAACCAGCAGGTGGGTGAGGGAGCTGCCTGTGTCTAGCTACTCTGCTTCTCTGGTCGGTCAAGCCAACATGGAGTCTTCGCTGAGCTCGGTAATATTTACTGCTCATAGTTACTGCTAACTTGTATGTTATTTTTATTTGTTTTTTTTTTATTTTCTTGTAAGTTAATTTCAAAGCCATGAAAAATGTAGAAGATTGCTAGTCCTTATCTAGCATGACTATTACATCAAGCTACTAAATAGAATTGAGTTCTATGATGCCATCATACTTCTAAAGAACTGTTGAAAAAAGTAGCTTCACCATAGGTGAAGTACAATGCTGGAGTGGTGAACTCTTTTGAAGCAATACAAGCTTGACCCAGCAACAAACGTGGAAGCTTCGTCTTAGTGATGCCAAGCACTACCTGGATATGATCAAAATAATGCCGTAAATCCCATTTATCATTTGCTCGTGTCATCTGAACTGCGGCAATACATGCGCCCAAGAAGTGGGCATCAATTTGATAACCAGTAAAGTGACCAATTTAGCTACTTACATCGCCGTTAATTGAACTGCTCCCAAAATTAGCAGCTTGCTGCTTACATCGCCGTTAATTGAACTGCTCCCAAAATTAGCAGCTTGCTGCTTACAGTGCCGTTAATTGAACTGCTCCCAAAATTAGCAGATTGCTGCTTACATCGCCGTTAATTGAACTACCAAATGAAGTTTTGCTACGTTTACTATGATTGAGCTCTTGACGACTTTCGAAGTAAATGAGGTAAACCTAATCGTTTTTTTAAAGGCCTCCCACACTCACCATTCCAACAAAAAGAAATTAATTTTATTAATTAAAAACAGGGAATGGTTTCATGTCAATGATCAGGGCCCCGACCTTAACGCCTCTGATGGTGGCCTACACCGACTCCGAGGGTCACTGAGCTGTGACGCGAGCGAGGAGCGGGCCCACGTCGAACTTTTCTCTGACTGCTGTTAG